CGCCCTTGCCCTCGCCCTCGCCCGCAAGGCCTCTCTTTATTCTCTGGCCCTCGTCGCCTGCAACACTCGCCCGACTGAACTTTAGCCCGCTCCCTCGTGACGCGCCGCCCTCCGCAGGCTCAACGTCCGAGCTTTGTCCCCCGTCACTCTCCTCTCATTTCAGACCCCACACATGCGCATAGCTGTTCGCACTTCCGACCAATGCAGGCGCCTTGCCTCACCCCTCTCGCGGGCGGCCCCCATTCTCTCTGCTCTGCAGGACGCGCGCCGAGAGGCGCTACATGGTCGACTTCAATGAGAGCGAGGGCGAGTCGGCTTTCTTGGTTGTGAGATCAACAAGGGGCGTCTGGTTCGAAAACCCCCACGTGTTCCATCGGAGCCTCGCAAAGGTGCCAATCAGCTTTTATTTCGCGGAGGGGGCCCAGGTTCAGACCGAGCTCGGGCCAACGGCTTCCGTCAAGGTCGGTGGCTACTTCGCTTCCAGTGCGGATTATGAGGAGTGGTATCAGCGGCGCCGCGCGAGCCTGACGCTGCCGCCTTCGCTCGGAGCTGAGGTGCGCACTTTTACGCCAGGATCGGCATTGTCCCAGTGTCGCCGTCTCCAAACATTTACATTTACATTTACGTTTCTCCCTCACGCAGGCGTGCGGCGTCAACGACGACGTCGTTGTGAAGGAGGAGGCCGCCGCCGAGGAGGCCACCTCCGAGAAGGCCGTCGTCGCCGAGGAGTCCGCCACCGAGATGGCGACCATCAAGTCCGCCGCCGGCGAGGTGTCAGCCGCCGGCGAGGTGTCTGCCGCCGCGGAGGAGTCCGCCGCCACCAAGTCCGCCGCCGCCGAGTCTGCCACCGGGACGGCCGCCACCGAGGAGGCGAGCACCGAGGAGTCCGCCACCAAGCCCGCCGCCGCCGAGGAGTCCGCCGCCGCTGAGGCAGTCGCCGAGGAGGCGCCCGTCGTCGAGGAGGCCGTCGCCAAGGAGGCTGCCAAGGAGGTCGAGAAGCCGGCAAAGACCGTTTCCAATACGCCCGACCCAGCGGTGAGCGCGCCGCAGCATTCTCTCATGGCACTCCTCGCTCTCCCACCGGTAATAATCTCCCTTCCCGTGTGCCCCTATCGCGCTTTGCAGGACACCACCTGCTACCCGGGCCTGCCCACGCCGATGGCGGCGGGGAAGAGCGGGCCCGCGTCGGCCCGCAGCGGCTTCGGACCGGGCTACGTGGACGGCGTCGAGGCTGCAGTCCGCCGGCTGGGCGAGAGCGTCAAGTACCAGGCTACGCCCGCCGACGGCAAGAAGTCGCCGTCGCCGGGAGTCCCCACCTCCGGCGCAGTGGCGCCCAAGCCCCTTGGCGCGGGCGCGGGCGCGGGGCAGGCTGAGGCCGCGGCCGCCGAGAGGCGCGAGTACTGGGAGGGCATTCGCAAGAAGGCGAAGGCCGCGCTCGATCTCAGTGCCGAGCGACGGGAGAAGTGGGCGGACTTGCAGTCGCGGCGCTCGAGGAAGTGCCGGCGCAAGGCAAGGCGCTGGCGCAAGCCGAAGAGTGGCAAGAACCGGCGCCGCGATCCGCAGACGTGCGGCGCCGGCGTTGGCACATGCGGCGCCGGCGGTCGCGCCGGCCTCAAGGCGGCGGCCGACTGCGTGCGGGGCGGCTACACGAAGGCCGCGGGCGCCTTCCGGTGGCTGCTCCTCGTCTGCATCCCCGCCTTTGGCCACTGCGAGCCCGCCGTGCCTAGCCCGACGGCGGTGGCCTCGGCCTTCTCGTCTGCCGTCGCCTCGGCGTCCTCGGCCTTCTCATCCGGCGTCGCCTCGGCGGCGTCCTCGGCCTTCTCGCCCGCCGTCGCCTCGAAGGCGTCCTCGCTCGTGAGCTGCTCGCCGCTTCTCATGCCCGCAATCGTGCTCATCCTCCTCGCCATCGCCTGCGGCGCCTCCTGGCCGACCGCGGCGAGCGGAAAGGGGGCTCGCGGCGCGGCGTGGGCCACCTGCCTCACCGCCGCCACGGCGCGCCTCACCGGCACGGCGGCGGCGCCTGCCGGCTTCTTCGGGAGCGCCTTCTCGTGGCTCGCGGCGGGTCCGCCGCAGGTCGCCGCCGCGGCCGCCGCCCTGGCCGTCATCGGCACGGTAATGTGGCGCCGCAACTCAAAGGCCCGCCGCCTCGGCTGGTCCAGCCTGCTCGGCATTCTTCTCTGCTTGACCACCGTCTCTGGCGGCTTGGTCACCGCCGCTGGCGGCGCCGCGCTTGCTGCATCCTCAACTGCGCTGCCAGACGTCACTGCGCTTCCGGCGAGTCCCGCTACCACCACACCTCCGCACCCCGGATGCCCGCATCCTCAACCCCTTGCCGCCGGCACCTACTTAGGCCATGGGCGCATTAATGGCCTACGACCCCCTGGACCACGAGGAGGTCCTCAATGAGATCCACACGAAATCGCGCAAGCTACGAATATCGCCAAGCACATCTCCATGCCACTGCCCCAAAGGCTGCGTGCCGTGGTTCATGGCCATTGGTGCGAGATACATGTATCGAGATGCCATCAAAGCCAGTATGGCTTACGTCATAGCAGCAGTGGGCTCGCAACGCAAGGCAGCGCCTTCACTCCTGCCTCATCTCATCTACGATGGCAAGCCAACAAACATCACGGCCTGGTTGCAAGGGCAAGGGGTGGAGGTCATATTTCATCGGCTGAGCTTCATAGACAAGTTGAGGGAAGCTGGGTTGCGTCACAACCCCATCGTTGGCGCCTACCTGCGGCTCGATCTCACAGTCAACGACACCGGACCGCTTGGCGCGCATCTACGTGGCGAGAAGAGCAGATGCCAATCCACAGTGTCCTACAAGCAGGTACTGTACACAGACACGGATGTCGTGTTCTTGGGGGACATTGGCCAGCAGAATCTCATTCGGCCTCGGAAGGGGGGGCTGTTGGCCATGGGTTCTGAAGCCAAAAGAGACTCCGCTCCCAGCAACTCTGGGGTGATGGTGATGGACGTGGAGCGGTTCTCGCAAAAGCGCGACGCACTTCTGCGCTTTGGGGTGGAGCACAAGTTTCACTTTCCTGCCGTAGACCAGGGTCTCCTCCTGGAGTTTTTCAAGGGATCAATCTCCAAGCTACCGGATGAGTGGAACTGGAAGGCGTACTGGGGCTGGCAAAAGAAGAAGAAGACAAACATACGCATCGCCCATTTCCATGGCCCGAAGCCAAGGGGGGTGTATGGGTGGTATTGCCTGTGCAAATACAAGGCCTCCTCTCCGGGGGTCTACTCAGAATACAAGGATCCATGTGAACAAGAAGCCAAGGAGACCACCGGAAACAAGAGAGAGGACGTGTTCAAAGCATACAAAGGACTCCTTGACCAAAGCCTCTCAGCAGACGGGGGAGCACTCGCCTTTTACCTGCTCCTGGTGTGGACAAACTACTTGAAGCTGTCTGGGCAATATCCTTCCGACCCGAGATTGGGCTCCGATCAAGCAATGTTGCGGTCCTGCCTGCTCAACAGCAAGATGGATCGGTGGCCACCGGGCATAAGGGATGAACTAGCTGCCCACTTGTCGATAGCGGGATTGAACACCAGCATAGGCGGGTACTTATAGCCGCCAGATCCTGTAAAATGCAGCGTTGCCTCACCCGAGAGATCCGCATCTGTGTCGCTGTAGAAGTGTAGTTGTGCGGCAAGCCCTTGTTGTCAAAACGAGTGCGTATAGCTGATTAGGTTGAAGCCCAACACTGTCTGCCAACTTCATTTCTTCATTCACTGTGGAGACTGGAGTTACGGCTCTAGTCAATGGCATAGCACTCTCGAGCACTATCGCGTATCGGTCTGGCAGCTGCGGGTGATGGGCAAAGTTGTGCCGCGCCGCTGCAGAGGAAAAAAATCTCGACAACCCCCCAAAACGCCATTAAAAAAATCCGCGGAGAAAAACACCCGAAAAAAAGAAGTTCGGAGGGCTCCATGTGGAGGCCACTACAGTAAAACCCCAACCCCACTGAACCGACCCATCCGAGCCCGTTCCCGAGCTGCAGCAGCAGCGTCGCAAAATCCGGGGCCATCGTAAAAAATAAGATGCTCGGCGAGCTTCTTAGCTCCCCGGTCCTGGGCGTGCGGCTGCCGACTGCACTCCAAGTGCTCAAGTGCTTTTCTTCACCAAGAACTGGCACGGGCTGCAGATGCAGCGCTTGTCTGTCGTTCTCCACGCCGCAGTGGCGTGGCAGACGGTGAACGAGCTAGCGTGCGGGGAGAGCGGCATTGTGCACGGAGCTAAGTGCATTGCCGTTCTTAACGGAGTCGCTTAGGCGGCTCCGGTGGTTTGCCTGTGATAGTGCTAGCACGCGCCAGTCCGCACCTGTGTCGAGCCTGTCTGCTGTGAGAGAGAGTTTTGTTCCGTTAAGGTGCCTCGTGCCAGTTTCGGGGGGCAAACCCTGCCCGGCCCCTAGGACCCCAGGTAAGGCCCAGGTGTGGCCTAGGGCATCAGAAGGGACCAAGAGGAGTCCTCAGCAGCAGCGGGGAGCACGGTCGGAAGGGCGCTTTTGTCGCTTTCGGCAACACTGAATCATTCTACCGGAACATGGTCGAGGGGCATGGGCCCTACTGCGAGGAGGGGGAGGGGGGGAAGGGGGGGGGGGGGGAAAGGGGAGGGGGGGGGAAAAGAAGGAGGGGGGGGGGGGAGGGGTACGGGGGGGGCGGCATGGAGGGGGAGAGGAAGAGCAAGGGCGAGAGAGGGCAAGGGACCGGGCGCTGGCATACCAGGGGGGGCAGGGTGGTGGGCGGCGACCGCCGCATACCGTCCTACGGCGGGGACTATCGCTACGCCAGGGAAGACAAGGGCGTCGAAGTGCAGCTGCTGCTGTTCGAATCGTTCGGCGGGTTCGGAAAGGGGGTCCGTGAGATCCTCCGCAAGGCGGCGGACGTGCTACAGAACAAGCTGACGCGGGCCCAGTACCTCGATGAGGTGACTTGGACCACCAAGAGCTGGCTGGGGCTGCAGAAGCAGCGCATCTCAGTCGTTCTTCACACGGCAATCGCAGAGCAGATTGTGAATGAGCTTGCCTGTGGCGGGGGTGGGCGGGTGCACGGAGCTAAGTGCCTCGCCACCCTCGCAGGAGTCGCTTAGGCGGCTCCCGTGGTGTACCTGTGTTAGTGCCAGTGCGAGCCAGTCCCGTGCCCAGTCCTGTGCCCAGTGTCGTGCGAGGGAGTTTTGTTGTAAAATACTTATTGAGTCTTACTTACCTCGTGGAGCTCTGTGCCTTGCCTCCTGCGGACTTGGTCGCGGCTGCACGCCCCCCCGAGCTCGTGGCATGGTGGTGATGGTCGGCATTGGTGGAGCCGCCTGTGGCACTGTCCTCGCCTTGAGATGTCGTTGGAGGAGGTGGAGGGGGAGGCGGCGGGGGCGGTGGGGGTGTAGAGTGTTGCAATGCGAGTAGCTGCTTGAGCTGACGAATCTCCTCGCGCTGACGCTCAATCTCCTCTCGCTGCCTGCGGAGTGCATCCATCTGCTCACTGCCGCCTCCGCCTCCGCCTCCGCCTCCGCCTCCGCCCTCTCCGCTGCCGCCGCCTCCGCCTCCGCCCTCTCTGCCGCCGCCCTCCTTGCCGCCGCCCTCTCTGCCGCCCCGCTTGCCATCTCGCTTGCCGTCCTGCCTGCCGCTGTCCTCTCCACCGCTACACTCTCGCCTCGCCGACATGTCTGGCAGCACGCTTGCCCACTCCGAGGGCACTCCGGCCGTCGTTACGGACGCCATCCCGCTCGACGCCCCACTCAGTGCGGATTTGACCAGAGCGCTCGAGCCGCCGACTGCGCTACCGGCGGCGAGCAGGTGGGAGTGGTTTGGCGGTGAGGGCGGCGGCGGTGGCACGATGCGCTGCGGGTGGACGGGCTTGGTCTTGTACAGTATCGCTGAGGCGGGAGAGAGGGAGAAGGACGGCGTGGCGGCGTGCGAGGACGCCGAGGAGGGCGCGGGAGAGCTCGGAACACCGATCGCGCCCGCACTGCGGTGGCGGGTATCGCTCCCACGACCTCCGGGTTAGCAAGGCACAGAAAGCCAGCCACACACGGCTGGGGCCAGTAAGCTAGTAGCGAGTAAGCTAGTAGCGAGTAAGCTAGGGATCCAGAGCTGTGGACGCACTGCTCTGGCGAGATGGCCATGTCGGTACTTACTTACTTACTTGCTTACTGACTCACTTACTTACTCACTCACTTACTGACTCACTTACTGTGGCGAGATGGCCATGTCGATACTTACAACCCGGGCTGTACTTGCTCACTTACTGTGGCGAGATGGCCATGTCGGTACTTACTTGCTTACTTACTTGCTTACTTACTGTGGCGAGATGGCCATGTCGGTGGTGTCCGACTCGGCGTAAGTCCTCTCCGAGTCCAGCTCTGTTCGGTGTGAGGTTGGCGGGCCGGCTGTCGAGTCGCTGGCTGAGGTCTCGTCATCGGGCGGCACCTCGGGGGTGATAGCTCGCAGGTCGAGGTCGTCCACACGCACGCTGCGACCAAGTAAGTAAGTAAGTAAGTGAGTAAGTAAGTGAGTAAGTAGGTCGAGGTCGTCCACACGCACGCTGCGACCAAGTAAGTAAGTAAGTGAGTGAGTGAGTTAGTAAGTATGTAGGTCGAGGTCATCTACACGCACGCTGCGCCCACAGACGGCTCGATCGTGAGACAGGTAGGGAGCATGGAGGGGAGGGGAGAGGAGGAGGCGGGAAGGGATCGAGAAACAGAGGAGAGGAGGGGAGGGGAAGGGGAAGGCGTACCGGCAGCGTCGCGGTCGGTGGGAGGCGGATCCACTGATGATGGAGGAGGCCGAAGGTGGCGAGGGCGCGACGCGAGCCGACTGCGCACGGCTGCACGGCGTGCGTGCGTGCGGCGTACCGCGCCCTGGCGTACTGCGCCCTGGCGTACTGCGCCCTGGCGTGCCGCGCGCAGCGGGGGTGCCGCGGGCGGGGGTGCCGCCGTGGCTGGCGAAGCCGTCGGCTTGTGTCGAGCCCTGCAAGAATTTGGATCGGGAGGAGAGGGAGCCGTCAGCAAGAAGGCAAGGGGGCGAGAGGAGAGAGAGGAGAGAGAGGGAGGGGCGGTTGGAAGGGGCGAGAGGAGAGGAGAGAGAGGTGGGAGTGGGTCGGATCCAATCAGAGCGTCCGGCGCCCGGGAAGAAGTCGAGCTGGGTCAGAGTTAAGGTCAGGGTCAGGGTCAGGGTCAGGGTTAGGGTCAGGGTCAGGGTCAGGGCTAGGGTTAGGGTTAGCGCACCGGGAAGAAGTCGAGCTGGGTCAGGGTTAGGGTTAGGGTTAGAGTGAGGGTGAGGGTGAGGGTGAGGGTTAGGGTTAGCGCACCGGGAAGAAGTCGAGCTGGGTCAGGGTTAGGGTTAGGGTTAGAGTGAGGGTGAGGGTGAGGGTGAGGGTTAGGTGCGCACCGGGAAGAAGTCGAGCTGGGTGGCGCCTGGCCACAGGTCGACTTGCGTCGCTCCGTAGGGCGAGGCTCCGTAGGGCGAGGGGGCGGCGTCCGAGCGCACCGAGGGCGCGGTACGCTCGGCTGCGCACGCCGGCTGTTTGCGCCCGCTGCCCGACGGCGTGCGTCTCACGAGCGGGGAGAGCTTCAGGTTCAGGTGAGGCATCGGTGACCGGTTGGGAGCGGCTGAGGACGCGCCGGCGGCGCCGCCGCCGCGACGTTCGCCGCCCGCGCCGCGCGCGGCAGACGGGAGGCTAAAGGGCTCGTAGGCGCACGTCGCGGTGCCGCCCGCCGAGTACGCCACCTCGGAGCCGCCGCCAAACGAGCGGCGGGCCGGCGTGGCTGGCTGCGCCGACTCTCGCGAGCCTGGCGTCGGGGAGGAGGAGGTCGAGGGCGTTGCTGCCGCCGCCGAGGCGGGCCGCCGCGCTCCGGAGACCCTAGTTGTCGCCGGTCCTTCAGCGACGCGCCATACCGACACCGGGCACAGTTCGCAGCCACTTGCTGCGTCCGCCGGAGCTTCGGATTCTACTTACAGCGGCGCGGACGCGGAGGAGGCGGTGGCAGGAGGGGGCTCTGGGGCGGCGGGGGCGAGCGCGGCGGCTACGGCCGAGGAGGACAAGCGCGTCCGGGCGCTGAGGATGGCCCTGCAGCACAAGACGCAGATGCCCGTGACGGACGAGGAGGCCCGGGCTATCCTCCAGGCGCGAGGGGGTCGCGAGACGCCCGTGACGGAGGTGCGTCCAACGTGATCCGGCCCTCGGCAAGTCTTCGGTGTGGTTCTCTTCAGAGTCGTCGAGAGACGACGACACTGACGGTCGGCCGCCAGAAAACACGCCTGCGTGGATCGCGTCACAGCAATCCTCGCTACCCAACGCGGCGAAAGGATATCGACGGTAGGTAGGTAGTAAGGTGAAGAACAGCCAGGCTCGGACTGGACACCAACGCGGTATGGGTGGACGCTGGACAGATGATGACGACACGCACGAGCGACACACAGACACAAACAGGCTCACAAGACACACAGCCAGCTGGCTGCCACACATCGACGGCGGCAAGGATAAAAAAGTGCGCTGGTTGACGGCGAGCCGCCCGGGGCCAAGAAGCTCGCGGGATGAGCGTGCCGGAGTCGAGCAACGGCTCGCCCACGGAGCTTCTCGCCTCCGGCTTCCGCCGCGCTGACGTTGTTCGTCTGGTCACGCAGTGCCTGCACTCTCTTGGCTACGAGGCGCAGTCAATGCTGCCACGCCCATCCATCGCAGCACATGCACATGCACATGCACATGCACATGTGCACATGTGCATGCACATGCATGCACAACGCACCCCCTCCCCTCCCCGATTGCCCCGCAGCGCGCTGCGTCGGAGCTCGTTAACGAGTCGGGCGTGCAGTGCTGGCCGGAGCCCGTCTCGCGCTTCCGCGCCGCCCTATTGCATGGCGAGTGGGGCGCAGCTGATGCGCTCATCACAAACCTACACCTTCCCGACCCGGCGAGCCGGCGCGTGCGTTTCCTGGTGCACCGGCAGCACTACCTCGAGCGACTCGAGGCTAGCAGCCGTGCCACTCGTTCCCTCTCACTCGCTCTCGCTCATCACTCCAACCGCCCTGGGGATTCGAGCCACTCAAACCACTGAAAAACTCAATCGCATTAGGCTCACGACGCCGCCGGCGCCCTCGCGTGCTTGCGGGAGCGACTCGCGCCTCTGGAGCAGCCACATTTCGCGCTGCCACCTCCAGACGGGTGCGCTGCAATCGCAGCCGCCGGCGGGGGTGACGGCAAGAGCGGCAACGGCGGCGTCACGGTAGCAGGGAGGGAAGCGGCGCCGTCGGCGATGGCAAGGTGTGGAGCCGGCGGTGGTGGCAGTGGCGATCGCAGCGGCGACGGCGATCTCGGCGGGGCGAGACTTGGCGGGAGTGTGCAGGAGCTTAGCACCTACCTACTCTGCCGCAGCGTGGAGGAGCTCAAGGCGCGCAGCGGGTGGGATGGCGGCGGAGGCGCGTCGCGGCGGCTGCTCCTCGACGAGCTGCAGGAGCACATCCCTCCCTCGCTCCTGCTCCCCGAGAACCGGCTCGAGACGCTGCTGCAGCAGGCAGTCCGCTGGCAGACATTGCACGCGCCCCCACTCACGCCCGACGACGTCTCTCCGTCGCTCTTTGAGGACGTCTCCTTTCGCCACGATGGTCTGCCTCGGGAGGCGTCTCTGGTGCTCGAGGGCCACGCGGACGAGGTGTGGTGCGTCGCGTTCTCGCACTCGGGCGCCGCCCTCGCCTCCGCCTCCCGCGACGGCGCCGCCGCCTGCAAGTGTTGGCCCCCTCGGGGAGCAAGTCTCACGTGTTCGCGACTCGTCCGCACAGGCGCTATCGTGCTGTGGAATGCGACGAATCCGCAGTTCGCTCGGCGCGCGCTCATCCCGGCACACTCCGGCGCCATCGCTACGGTCGCGTGGAGTCCCGACGACACGCTGTTGCTCTCGTGCGCCGCCGACCGCACAGTCAAGTTGTGGAACGCGCCGGCGGGCGACTGCGCCGCGACCTTCCGCGAGCACACCGAGGCGGTGACCGCGGTCGTGTGGCTGCCTTCGGGGGCGCACTTCCTCTCCTCGAGCAGCGCTGGCAAGCGGGTCATCCTGTGGGATTTGGGCGGCAACGCGCTGCAGTCGTGGCACGGCCCGCGCGTCACGGACCTTGCCGTCGCGGCCGACGGCGCGCGGCTGCTGGCCGTAAGCGGCTGCACGGTGCGGAGCTGCCCGCTCACGGCGGGTAGCGACGGCACGCCGCGGATGGTGACAGAGGACGTCCACTCGTGGGATGAGACTGACGCGATCTCGTCCCTCGCGATCTCGAGGGACTCGCGCGCGGTGCACCCACTCCCCTACCCCACGGTACCCGAACCCACCCTCCCCTCCCCCACGGTACCCGAACCCACCCTCCCCTCCCCCACGGTACCCGAAGCCACCCTCCCCTACCCCATGGTACCCGAAGCCACCCTCCCCTACCCCACGGTACCCGAAGCCACCCTTCCCTCCCCCACGGTACCCGAAGCCACCCTCCCCTACCCCACGGTACCCGAACCCACCCTTCCCTCCCCCACGGTGCCCGAAGCCACCCTCCCCTACCCCACGGTACCCGAAACCACCCTTCCCTCCCCCACGGTGCCCGAAGCCACCCTCCCCTCCCCCACGGCACCCGAACCCACCCGCAGGTGCTCCTCAACGTGGGGTCGCAGGAGGTGCATGCTTGGGACGTGGACGGGCGGCGGCGGCTGGGCTCGTACTCCGGCCACCGGCAGGGCCGCTTCGTGATCCGCTCCGCCTTCGGCGGCAAGCACGACGGGCTTGTCCTCTCGGGCTCCGAGGACACGCAGGTCTACGTCTGGCATCGGCACAGCGGCGCGCTACGCCATCTCCCCATATCTCCCTCTCTGCCCACATCTGCCCACATCTCCCCATATCTCCCGCCGCCTCCCTCGGCGCGCGGCGGCTCCGCGACAGCGCGCCATGGCGACGTGCCCGTCCCTCCCCTCGTGACCGGGCGGCCACCGCCTCGGCCTCTAGGCGCGCTGCTGCGGAAGCTGCCCGGCCACTCGTGTGCTGTCAACAGCGTCTCCTGGCGCACTGAGCCGCCGATCCCCCGCTTCCTTGCCGCCCCCCCACGCCCCCCGCTGCTGAGTGGTGGACGCCCGTGTATAGGAGCCCGGCCTCGCCGCACCTGTTTGCCTCGGCTTCCGACGACCACACTGTCCGAATCTGGGGGCTGCCGCCACCCTCGGTTTCGTAGGCTCGCCCGCCGGCGGCTCGCCGTTCCTGCGCCCGCTGGGCCGAGGCTGAGGGGATGCGAGGGCCTCAGTGCTCTGCGGTCCCTGCAGCTGTGTATAGTAGAGAGGGGCGCTGGAGATCTGGAGCGGGTAGCGGAGATATCCAAGGCAGCCAGAGGCCAGAGGCTCCCGCGCTGGCACCCCGCTGGCAGGCTCCAGGCACTCTGCGATGTGCGAAACACGCGAAAGCAAAAGGGAGAAACCGTATGGCTATGCCTATGCGCTATGGCAGCAGACACGAGACAGGAGAGAATTCACCAGAAAAGGCAAATGTAAAGCCGTATTCGAAGAAGAAAAAATATATGTGTAATGCGAGAGACGTACGCGGTACGGTCGTGAGTGTGTCACAGTGTGTGCGAGACTCACTGTCACTCTCAGGACTCTAGACACTAGAGACTGAGAGGACTCTGCTTCTCTGCACAACTCTGCATACTCCAAGCCCGAAACCGGCAGCCGACCGCTCCGCACCGGCATCTCAGCCCTCATAATCGTTACGACAACGTCTCATAATCCCAATCGTTCACAGCAGCTCTCTGCTGGCCACTCTGTCCGTAGACAGTCCGCCCTCTATGGCGCAGGCTGGAGGCTCGCCGCTCAAGCCTTCGCTCGGCGCGCCGGCTGTGCCACCTTGCCACATGGGTCGCTTGCCGGGCGGCCACTATAGCGCCGTCACGGCGTGTCACTCGGGGAAGCCGAGCGCCTCGCGACGGC